AATACTGGACAAGTTGGTTGTCAGTATTCTCCCTGGCCCTGCCTGTTAAGAAAGTATTGCTGACCTAATGGAGAGATGGGAGAGGTTGAGTGAGTCATCAGTGCAGCACAGCTCAACCCTAGAAACACATTTCTTCCCCCTTCCCAAACAAGACTTGCTCATATGCAGTGGAGCCAGCAAACAGCCCACTGGGAAATGCAACAATTCCTCTGAGGGCAAAGGCTTTGAAGAAATTTGCCCAATTATGTTAGAAGTCTTCCAAAGGCAGGCACACTTCAAGTTTGGTCTGCAAAGACATTAATTGCATTTTAGAGCAGGTCGAAAAGGCACCTGCATCAAGCAGATGGAGTTGCTATTGTTCAGAGCAGTTGTTTTCCCCTCAGTCACTTGAAACCTCTGCATTTCTGAAGCCATTTCAGCTCCAGAACTAGGTGACGTCACCAAGTGACAGTAACTGTACAGGTACTTACACCAATACGCACAAGGCCACTGCTGACCTATCTTCAAGGGCTTGCATGGGTATCCAGGAAGGTGAGCTTGCAGAAAATGCATGAGTCAAGCTCATTCGATAAAGCTCAGTAGTTAATGACCTCCTGAACACCACCAGCCTCACCCAAATGCCAAAGCACCCAACACTCCCTGGAACAGTTCAGCCAGAGAGCTCATCCTAAGTTTCCCTGTGCTCTGCTGACAACAGTGCCAATCAGACTGTAAACAGCTTTAATTTCAATTTCCCAACCCTCAAGTGGTTGAGAGAAAAAGTTCAAGAATGGTGGGACTGTAACCAGTGGGGGCAATCAGGAATTTGAGCGTCAAAAAGGGGAGCACAGCTAACTGCCTTTTGGCTTTAAGCAAACCAAAACATAGAAGGAAAGAGGGGTGGGGAAAGGTGTGGTACCAGGAAACATTTTGGGGAAAATCCTACATCTAGTTCCTTACAAGCTAACAGGAATTTCTGGGATAGACTAAAGAAATCAGTGTGCAGCCATACATGGCCTTTCTGCTTGCAAACCTACCTTTCCTCACGTTCCCTTTTCTGTTTACGAGCATGACGGTCCATCACACTAGTTTTAGTCCTTGTCTTCTTCCAGGAGTAGTAAAATTTCACCAGGCTGGCTATTGATTTGTCAGGAAGCTGTAAATTAAACATGTATCCTTTTATATGTTTATAAGTAAAGCATCTCCAGAAGTTGACATACAATTGGTCTGTTTTTCCAAGGAATATCTGACCTCTTTACATTGGATTCTCTCAAAGGCTCAAGCAAGGCAGTTCTGCAACCTTTCCAAAAATGATCTATGGGGAGTGTTTCAGATTAATGCCTACTATTTGGGACATCAAAATCTCTGAAGAGCATCTCAGCAAGCTTCCACTCTCTAGTCAAATAGCTGATTTCCTCCAGAATAGGGGAACACAGCAAGAGCAAATCTGAAATGAGGCCTCGAAACTGAGATAACAGTTTTAAAGCCAGAACAGACCAAAAACCCAACACAGACACATGTAAACAAGCACAGAAACTGCTGAATTGCAAACATCCCAAGCATATCTTTGATGTTTGGTTAAATAGGTTTATTCACACCATTCACCTGACAAAGTCTATTCAAAGGTCTCAACAAAGGATGTTTTCGAAAGGTGAAATATTACTATATGGTGAACTGAGGGTACAGGAAAACACAATTTTATTTTTTTTTGTCCTCTTACACAAATGCCATTACCCTGTAGCTAGGAAAGAAAAGTGTGCCTCCAAAAAAGCATAAAACTACATTAAGACTAATTCTCTATTTTTGAGGTGCTCTACATGGATGCTCTTACACAGGACTTTTAAAAAGTGAAAGTCCAGTCTTTTCTGATGAATAAAACATGCTTTTCTTAAGTGTCTGATTCAGTTTGAAGGGCAGAGCAGGTGGGGAGGAAAACAAAACTGAGAAAGAGCCAGATCTCTTTCACTCAAACACTGCAGTTTAAGCCTTCACCTGAGACAAACCTGGTTCTCAAACTGCAGACTGACTTCAGGTTCTAATAAAAAATCACACCAGCACTCCCACTCTGGCCCACAGCTGCACACAGGCAGAAATCCATTGGTGCTGGCAAAGCACAGGTGCTAAGTCAATGTTGTGTTGCCAACAGCCATGCAACAGGTTGGCGTTCTGAAATTTAAAAGAGTTCCACAGAACAAACTCAGGGACAAGGCTGTTCATGACAAACATCCATTTGGCTATAAACCTGTGCTAAGAGTGCCAAAATATCAGAACCAGCTCTGGTAGATAATGTAACTTGCCTTTCATTCTCTGGCTTTGGAGACTGCTCCCCTCAGTTCCAGTCTGCACAGGTGCTAATGGGGCAGCATCTATAAACTAACAACTAACATGCTCCTGAGCCATTGATTCCTGTCCCCTGCTAAACACAAAGCTTTGTGCCATTTAATTCCTTTCATGCAGAATTGCTTTCCTGGGAGCAACAGTAAAACAAATATCATTACCTAGGGAACAGTGCATGTGCTTGGAATGCACTTCACTCAGGGACAGAGAGCCATGCTTCTGCACATAAACCAAATTGAGAATTTCTTGCTTTGGCAGTTAACCAACCAACAGGATGGGCTTTATGGTCTCTTTTTTCTCCCAGGACATTTCCCTGCCCTATTTTCCCTCCTATGTAAGAACACAGGAATAAAGCAGCTTCACTCTTGAAGAGTTGCATCACCTGACACAAGGGAATGGGAGACCCTAGGACTCCTAGAACATTTGGAAACAAATGTCAGTGAAGGACAAGGAACACCAAGGAGGACATGATGAAAACAAGCCTCTTTCTGCCACCCTTTTGAAAGCAGACCTTCATCCCTGGAAGGCAAGCCACCTTTCTCTTTTCAGTGGGATCAGCAGCACAGACCTGTGTCACATGTGCTTTAAAGAGGCTGAACAGACTGCAACAGCCAAGGCTCACTTCAAAGGGTCACAGACAGTGGAACTGGGTCCTGCTGGAACCCTCAAGAGGCTACTTTACTGAAGGGGAGCAAAGAACAAAGTCTAGTTCCCAACCAGGTGAAAAACCACTTGAAGACACTCATGATACAATTAACAGAATTTTTTTACCACCCATCCTCTCCCTCTTTCAAAAGCAAATTGCACATTCCCTAGCATTACCCTTTCAGGCAGAAACATATCCGTGAAGTTTTCAATCATACGTTTAGAACAGTATCATTACCAACAAAAAGCAAAGGACTGAAGCTTCCAAGGATGTATAAAAACCTCCACCACAGCATCCACTGACAGTCCCAAATCACATTAAGCACAGACTTCATCATTTAATAAAATTAATTCCTAGAAATCAGGCTATAAGAAAGGAAATCAACTTCACACAGAGATGATCTTTACCGCATATGTGTGGGCATATGTGTACAGACCATGCCTGAACTCCAGCTGAGACAAACACTACCATAGCACACAGGGGACTGAAAACTGTAATTTCCACTAAAAAAAAAATAAAAAAAATCACACAGTCATAGTTTATCCTGAACCAGTAAAACACTTGAGGAAAACACTTCTACGGAGACTCTGGGAATAATATTGTTTCCTTCTATTCATGGTAGTATTTTCCCTCTAACATCCCCTTTGGCCTGTTCTCTCTCAAGAGCATTAGACACACATTCAGCACAAACAGCACTGAAGACGACAGTCTGTTCTGCTTTTCCACTCCTGAGACACCACTTACCATCTGCTGAATCCTATGAAAGGTTTTCCCATGGAAACTGAAGGCCTGTTCAAACAAGACCTTGTCTTCCACTGTCCACTCATCTGGGAATGGAGTAAAGTTTGGCAGATCTGCCAAAGACTTCTCGATGTTGTGCTTGTGCCAAAACAGCATCCCAAGAGCCTAGAAATAATACAGACACCAAGGTGACAACTGTAATCAAAAGAAACATTATTGGAAAATGGAAAGGGAGAGCCACAACATTTTTCTCAGGCAACACATTTTACATAATTTTAATTCTCAGCTACATCAGATGCTTTTCTGAGTGCAAGAAACCTGCAAGGAATCTGTCCCCCAGCTAAGCTGTGAAGACCAGCCCGAAGTTTATCAAAACCACACAGGTCATCATATAATAAAAGATTAGCAACAGGAAGGTGGGAGAAGAACCTTAAGAAATTATTTCAGCTTTACTGATCATGGCATGCACAGATAAGCTGAGCAAAGGCTTGGGAAGTCTGCCTAAAGAAGACTGGACAAAAGGCAGCATCTTTCCATTGCTGGACTCTATTTTCTGGCAATTAGAAGGATGGTTTACTTGACTGGGTTTTTTACAATTGTTTACAGGGTTCTTTCTGAGGGGGAAGGGAAAAAAGGAAAGAGAATGAAGCAAGAACTGGAAGAAGGAAAGGCAGAGAACGTGCACCACCTTGACTTGCTACTGAAAAGTCCCCGGCCCAAAGGAGGAATAAATTTCACTCATTTTGGGGGCTGCTCTTTTGTTCCCTTGAGGGAGGCCTTATTTTGCTGTCAGTTTCTGGTTCTCAGTTCCAAAGACAAAGTGCCTGTGCTGCACTTCACCACCTGCAAACCATTCCCCTTGTGCTGTCTCCGAGACACTTGTGTGCAGCCCCCCTCTTCCAGGGGTCCACAGCCCATTGTGTGTTATGACACAACACTACCTCTGGCATGCCAGCAACCACTGCGAGTCATTTTGGGAAAACCTGACTCTACAGAGCTAAAGACCAGCCTTTCACAATTGCTGTGAAGTGAAAGCAATCCCTAACATGCTAAGTAAAACCTAAGAGTAACCCACTCATCATATGCAAACTCAGCTCAGGTTTCGCAGACACAGCTACCCTCATCTAGTAGTTTCATCCTGGTTGCCCAGCATTACAAAATCCCTCCAAAATCAGGGATTCCCCATTATGCTTTCCTATGCAAAAAAGCAGTTCTTTTATGGGATTTCTGCAGAGAGATGCATACAAATGTTAATGTTATTATCCAACATCTTGCCCAGATCCTACTGGACTCTCAGTGCTGCCCGGACACCTTCTCCCTTCTGCCACCATGCAGAACAAATAGTAATCTCAGTTGCTGCACAGGCACTCGAGATGTCATAGAAGCCACACAGCCATTCTGGCAAGGGTGGGGTCAAAGAAACTATTTTGTAGTCATGAAGGACTGAGTTTTCTCTCCCCTGACAACCTCCTTCAGCTTCAAATATGAGATCTACCTGATATCCCTACGAGGAAGCAAGGGATTAACAAGGAGTGAGACGTTTTGGGAGGGCAGGGTAACATTAAATAGCACTGAGATATTAGTGAGGACTGAGGGGAGAGCTGCTTATATAAAGCAAGAAGTAAACAAAAATATTTTTCTTCCAGGCTTGTTTAACAGGAGATCAGTACTCCTCTTCCATCTATGTTGCCCTGAAAGAACTCTGCACTCATACACAGGTGAGCACAGGGCCTTCCCAAGCTTTTTCCCAGGGTGTCTGACAAAGGCTGGCAGGAAAGCCTGGGTCACAGCCAGACCTTACTGTGGTGCTTCCAAAAGTCAGTGACTACTAAGAGCTCAGCGCAAGCACCCGCAGCCGTCTGCACCACCAGCTGAAGCACCTGCCCTGCCAGAGCTCACTGGCCTGCGGGGAACCTGCCCTTTGTGTGCCCTGGGGCTGGCCAGGCTGCAGGGACTCCCACCAGCACAGTCCTGAGCCTCCAGTCATCATCCAACAGCAGCAGAGCCAACAACAGGGCACTGAGCCATGGGCAAGGGGAACGTGAGGACAGGGATGGGAGCTGGGCTGGCACAGATTGGGCAGCTGGACAGGAACAGTGCTGGGCAGAGGAGCACCAGCCGGCACACGCCCCTGCACCCTGCCAGCAGCTCCCACTCCCTTCAGCACACTGGCACATCTCAGCCTTTAAAGAGATGCTTTGGGCACTGGGCACAGGTGGAGAAAAGGCAATCTCTCTATGATGACTGTTAGCCAAGCCACCTGGACAGAACAGCAAAGTGACCGGCTGTCAGGGGAATGCATGTGTCAGAAAGGGATGCTTCAGCCAGTGAAGCCCAGAGACAGTGGCCAATTGCTAAAGTGAGCTTTTACTGCCTTCCAGGGAGTCTGTATCAGCTTGTCCAGTTACCCAGCCAATAGCAACTCTGGTGATACCTGCTGAAGACAGAGTTTCCCTTGGTGACACAAATAATCATCCTGATTTGAAAGCCTTGACACTTGTCCCTGTAATACAAAATGAATGTGTGCCTTCCAGAGCAATACAAGCTAGATTCTCTCCAGTTATTTCCTGAAAATGCCTAGCACAGCTATCCAGGAAATCCCACAGGACCTGGGAAACATGTTTAACTCCAGATGAGAGATGTGAGAGTGCTACAGAAAATTTTTAGGAGCAGGGACGTTTTTACAAGACGCTCAGCCACTTCACACTCTGATGTGGCAAGTCATGCAACTTCTGTGGACAGAGAGGGAGAGAAAAATGGAGAAAAGACTTCAAAGAATAAGTGGGAGGTCTATATTTTCAACATGAAAATTAATGCAAATCTCTGTTAGCTAAATCTAAGTTTTTCAAACCACAAGAATTCAGTGGGTTCTTTAAAAATTGCAAGCTTCATCTTCCAATACTAGGTTATACCAATATCAGCTGAAGAGAGCTACCTTTACTGTCATTTTAAGTAAATAGTCTTTTGATGCCTTCACATTAATTTTATTGCTGTCTTCTGCTCTTAGAAACTACGATTATCATGTCTAATTATTCCCAGTTTTGCTGGAAATTTTGCTGGCTATCTCAGCTTCAATGCTCTTGTTCAGCAAGAAGTCTTTTCGAGCATGAGTATCAACCACTGAAAGTCTGAGTCAAGGATGACAGCAGAATCATTTACATAGAAGCCCTTGCCCATCCCAACCATCTGTTTATATGCTCACAGGCTCTGTCTGAACAATTTCATAAACTTTCAAGTTTTTGTACTTGTAGAGACAGTATGTGGTTTGCCAATACAGTAAGTTATGAGATTCCCTGCCTTCCCTTTCCGAGCAAGTATTAGCGCATGAGGAAACTCCACAGAATTCAGGAAAGTTTCCCAGGCACACATCTACTCATCTCCCCAGCAAGTTTTGAAATCACTGTCAGTTAACGCAGGAAAGATTAATACACAGTCCTACACTACAGGGGATAAAGGAGAGTCCTCAGACCAGGACTTCCATCCCTAGGTTACAAGTGCTGGCTAAGATCAGTGTCCGCTGGCAAAGTCATCCTCCGTTTACTGCACTGACAGCCAAGGTGCTCATCTGTGAAACGCAAAATTATTTGCAGCACAGTTTTAAGGTAAATAACTGTGGGTATTGGTTTGCCTCAGAAAAGCACATGATGGTTCAATAGCTCATTAATAACTGCCATGACATCCATGAAGCAGAGACAGAGCAGTCAGCTGGAAACTGCACTGCAATCAGGCAGCTGTCCAAAGATAAGCCAATCTTTTTAATGTTGTTTAGGGGTTCTGAAAGTGCTCAAGAAGCAGTCACCAGAGGAAGCATAATACTCACGACCAGACTCCATTAGAAATTATAATTGTTTTGTTTTTCTTCTTTTGACTCTTGAGGTAAAACTAGGGGTGAACTCCATATCCACAGAGCACAGGCTACTATTATTAGGAACAGTCAGTTTTGGGAAAAGTAGTAGAGGAGAAAACACAAAAGGTACAGAAAGAAAGAAGCAGTTCTAGGCAGTGGCTTGAAGTAATTTCTGGATACTTGCTGAAAATATTTTAAAATAAAGTATTCAAAGGGTTGTTACCTGCTCCATATTGTATCCATGTTTCTCTTTAGCAATGGCAATATATTCATCCACTGAAAAACAAAGACAAGGTGTGAGTGCATTTCATGTAATGACCTCATTATCTCCCCTTCCCTTTCCCAGTCTAAAACCCAGATCTGCAGCTCTGACTTCAGCCCTCCACAAGAACTCTCATGAACAGCAACAGCTTCCAACAATTCAGGAACAGAAGGAAACATAAGAAAAACTAAGTCTTTTCCTTAACAAGTCTTAAATGGTCCATGATATCTAATCTAATTCCAGTACTTCTGAAACATGGCCTATAGTACTTTATCGAAACTGGAGACATGACTGTCACCTGCTTTTTGGGGTGTGTGCTCATTTCATTTTAAGTTTTTTATTGGTTGGTAGTGATTTTTCTTAATAGCCCCAGAGCATTTTTTTTTTCTTAAGGAAAAACATCCCCAGACACAATCCGTACCTTCCAATGCTGCCAGAATTCTAGTGTCACATGACCACTGCAGGTATCTTGGTAAATTTTTCAATTTTTAGGTCTCAGCAGTTTTTATCTTGGACCAAACCCCATATGCTTGTATTATGCCCCATGAGCTTTTAATCTTTACAATGTGAATGTGCACTGAGAAGTTGTATTTTGTACAGATGTGACTAAACCCAAATGTCTTTCACTGAGAGTGACTGAGCCCACTTTATATCCAACAGCACCCATTTGAGAAGAACAGATCAAAGTTATTAGCAGCGCTGGTGTTCTGAAGTCTGTGCTCTTATGCATGATCATTATTGACCACACTGTAATGATAATAACACCCTTGAAAACAAAAAATTAATCTGAAAGGTGAGACTCCAGCTTCACCTAGTGGAGTGGAAGATGCTAGAAGCACTGGTTGTCTGTATGATCCTAAACAACAATGCTAGTACCCTAACCTAAAACTGATACACACAGACAAAGTTTTCATCCCTCTACAAAATTTGGACTTCACAATGAGTCACATATCAGTGAACCCAAAAATCATTCCCTCTTCTTTTTCTACAGATACCCAGGGAGGGATGAAAGCAAATTCCAGTGCTGAGCACCAGACTCATGGAGAGCAAGTGCAGCAAGGAAATGGTTCTGTGCGCTCTGCAGCTAAGAAAGCCACATTTCCTACAGGCTGGATCTCATTATTAACTTCAGCTCTCAAATGTGCTTCTTGCATATTTTCTACCTTTATAAACACTCTTATGGAATAGTATGGCATTCTTTAAAGCTTTTTCTTCAACCTGGGACAGTCTTCAATTATTCCTCCAGCTTATTAAACTAAGCTATAAGCTCAAAAGGTACTGGAAAACAGGATAAATCAGAAAACACATAGCAGGAGAGCACCAGCCTCTTATTTTCAACTTGTCACTAATAGTAAGAATTTAGATCTAGGTAGTTAAAGTAGACATCCCATCTTTAGACTACCCAATATGACATGTGATAGTATAGTAATCACAGACCTTCATCTGGAAAGGAAAAATACAAAAATTTTGTGTTAATTTTCACAAAAAAAGGTATTGTAAAAGAGAGCATTGTTAAGTGCCCTGCAAAAGTCCATGAGAATATTAATTCAGCCATATATTGTGGCAGGAGAAGAGCATGCTGTAAACACAGGCACAATTCCACATTAGCAAGGACATTCCATGAGGTTCTTGTCCTTCCAAGCTCCCACCTGCACACATGACAACTCCCAACAGGCTGACAAACCTGTTCATGGCCCCATGTTCTAGATCCATTCAGAAAAGTTTTCTTAGCCTGTTGAAAAAAGATCTAACCACAACCATTCATTTGCACTGCTACCACACAAACACATCTGTCTCTCTAAGTAAACAAATTATTTCTAAGAACCATGTTGAACTGCAATGAAAACCATCCCATCTTGTAAAAAACCTTTTCTTGTACAAGGGAAACATAATAATAGTTACAAAGGTAGTGGAGATACTTGGGACAATGACCAACTTCCTAGGCTGAATTTGCTGCATTGCCTAATAGAACATTATTTTTAAGGATGCTTATTTTTTAGGATGTTTCCTGAGGGTTACCAATGCCTAGTATGAAGCCTGAAAAGCAGCTTAGCCGAAGGAAAAAAAAATACAAAACAAACTTGCAAAACCACATCCCCAAGCAGGGAACATGATCCACAAGAGACACACAGGGTAAAAAGGGACAGAGAAGGGAACTGCCTCATATACACACCATCCCTTCCCTCCCCATGCCCAATGGGGCAGGGAACATCAGTAGGGTGGGGGGCAGAACAGCAACTTCAGGTGCTTCCAGAGTTATAAAACCACATCAAGAACAAAGGCTGCCAGGAAACCATACATGCAGCATTTCCCTGTCGTTTAGCTAAATGCTCTCTGCTTCCTTAAAAAACAGGTATTGCACATGCAGTGTTATGTATTTCATCTAAGGAGGACGTGAAGGAAGGAGGAGGGAACGGAGCTGAATTCTCTCAAGTCCAAGGCTGAATTAAGCTCCTGAATGCTAAGTACTACTGCATTAACTACTGCGCTTTCACTGTGGAAAGATCTATAGCTCCTTATTTGACTTCAGCATCTTATCCTTTAATATATACACAGAGAAGAGATGAGGTTGTTCTCCTTTCCAGTATATTATCTTTCTTATGCTTGATGTTGTTAAGTAATGAAAACATACTTGCTCCCAAAAAATCATTATAGCATTTTCTCTCCTAGCTAAGCAAGAATATTAGCAAGGTCCCTACATTTCAACAGGATTTCTCTTCAAACAAGTCAATACACCAGTGAGCCAAACAGTAGATTATGAGTGACTAGACACCATGAAAGTAAGCTTTCAGGAAAAGATGCTTTTACTGTCACGGTAGGTTCTGTAATGCCTCAGTATTATAGCTCATTGTTACAGTGGAGGAAGAAAAAGAAGAAAAAGGCAATAAGGCAGTAAACTGACCATGAGCACACAGCAGTAGTACTCCTAAACACTAAAAGAGTGTTTGTGGGTGAAAGATGGACAAGGAGTACACCACCATACTCTCCTCTTGGCTTATTTCCTGCCTGCTTACTGCCAATCTAGCCCCTTCTGCTTGTCATTACTCAGCTAATTGTGAGCTCACTCACTTTGATGCTTGCACCATCCAAGAGGAATGACAGTCCCTTGAGCAATCCTTCCGATTGCTCTTTATCTTCCCCCTCTGTATGAAGTAAGTAAGGAAGAGCAAGCATGGCACCAGCTGAGTCACACGGCCCCTTTAGTCTCCCATACCAGTAGAGCCTGGAATTGCCATAAGCTCCATGCTTCACATGCCACACCAGATAAAGAAGTGTCCTCTTCCATCTCTGCCTTTCCTCCGCACATGTAGCAAGCACAGGGCAGCAGGCACGTGAAATTCTGCTCACTGCATTTCAGTGGCATGCAGTCACGCTCAGCGTGTAACCCAGCAATCTGTTTAGACACCACAGGTCAGAGCCAGAGGAGCCTGCAGCAGAGCCCTGCTTATACCAGAAGAGATAGCTTGCCAGCACAGCTCTGAGCTGCTTTCCAGAAGAGGACAAGCAAGAGCAGAGGAGCAATCCCAGCCCGTTTCCCCCAGCATAAAATACACCATCAAGCACTCTTCCTACCAGCATAACTTTTCCCCAAACAGGGTAAATAAAAGTATCCTCACCTCCCATTCCAATACATTTCCCTACGCCAGAAAGATATTTCCATACAGACCAGCCAAAAATACAATGATACTTGAACAGAGACAGTTGTGTGACACAGGAGATGCATTGCTCCTGTGAAGGCTCTTGTTGCTACTAGAAACCAGATGGGGGGAGGGACAGAGAAGAGAACCGTACACTGTATTTCTTCACCTACTTGGCTACATTTCTTCTCTTGCATGCATTTTAGCTGTGTTGGGGTGAGCGGGATCGCTCTGTCCACCCCACACCCAATATGGAGGGAGCACTGGCCCAAAGAGCCCCTTCCTACAGCCAGTCATGCTCAGGAAGGCAGCAGTAGCACAAGAAGCAGGGATGTAAAGGGAACAGAGCCTCACATCCACACTGTCACCAGCAAAGAGGAGTACAGAGTGCTCAGATGCCAAAACACATCTCCTGAACAGGAAATGACTGAAGGACCCTGGGTGTAGCACTAAGACAGCCAAAGAGATAAGGGAAAGGGAAGGGAGTGGCAAAGAAAGCACAGAAAGATGCTTCTACCCCCCTGCCCTCTAGAGAGAGGGGTTTGACAAAAATGGTGTTCTTAATCCCCTGAATTTTGTGCTCTTGTTCCCAGCCAGCTTTCTCATAAAGACTTGCCTTTTGCTAACTACTTCCCTGCAAAAATTCCTCACCAGAGGCAAAAGAAAGGAGACCCTCTTGGCTGACACAGGAAAGGAGGAACAAGAGCAAACAACTGCATTGCTGATTTTCAGTCCCACATCCTTGAGCAGTGAATTGAGACGTAAAACATGAGCATTTATTTCAGGAAAGTGGAACTCTGAAAAGAGAAATGCCTGAAAATAATGATTCCCCTCATCACCATTTGATCACATTAGGATCTCTGAGTGGGTCCTTCTGAAGAATTTCTCCCCCCACCCAAATTGCTTCTCAATGACCCCGTAAGGATCACATTGTGTTCAGCAGACTCAGTGACCCAAGGCAGGTTTGCAGCATGAGCGAGTGTGCTAAAGCCTGTAGAAAGCAACAGGAATGCAGAGGTAGAGCTGTTGCTGCAACCTCAGTTCACCCCTATTACTAGGGTACTGCAGGAGCTCTGAACACTTTGCATATTACGTGATGCAATACCCTGACAGAATAAGGTGAAATGAGGACAAAAGCAGCACCCTTTGCAGCTTCAGTAATGTGCTTCACGGGGTTTGATCAATGCTGGAACCTGCAAGGAATTCTGGATGTTGCTATACATCTTTCCCTCCCCTCCATCTCCCTTGAGAATAGGGGAAAAAAAAGAAAAGAAAAAAAAAGAGTCAAGATTCAAAATAAATCAATACTATATAAAGAAAATAAGGACATGTAGACACACACACACGTGAAACTTTTCCAAATTCCAAAACATAATTACGATGGTACGCAAACAACGGAGCAGTTTTCACCTCGCCTATAAAAATGAGCAGCTGCATTGCTGTCCCGCTGCCCTGGCAGCACCGGTGGAACACTCCTGCCACCTCGTGGTTCCTGCTCGGGACTGGAAGATGCCAAAAGCACACGAGTCCGCTCCACTGTCTCCCTAAAGTTAGCTGCAACTGGAAGTAGGGGAAGCAGGCAAAGATCCCGAACAAAATCACTTAAAGGAAACTAAACCCCACCTGATCTTAGAGGTCATTCTAACCTTAATTATTCTCTGTTCCTATTCAAAAGGTTCTTATGCCTTGGATGAGCTATTTCCTCTTCTTGGTAAGATGTGGTGTAACAAGCAGAAGAGCAGAAAGACAGAGCACAGACGTGTGTTTTGTGTCCTGTGCTGACCCATCTGGGCAGGCACACAGCCTCCTTTAACACTGTTTCTAGGAACAGAGCACTAGTTACACAAACACGAAGGCTGCTTAAAAAACACTTCAGGCAACTGAAGGCTAAAGAGGATTCAGGCTTCAACTCCACTGCATCTGCAGCAGGTGAGGATAAAGTCTGGATGCAATTGCAAGGCAAAGGAAAATGTACCCCTTACTTGGAGAAGCTTACTTGAATAGGACTAAGAGAAAACATGCTGCAGAGCAGGGAACAGTAATCTGAGTCATGGGACTCCACCACAGTGTTTATCAACCTCCCTGTTGCTCAGATTTTATTTGCATATCATCTCTTGTCCACATACCAAGCACCATAGGGTGCCACTGCATTAAAATCTCCTATGGCAGCAGCACCAGACTAAGCACCCCTATCTCCTCCATCCACATCTTTGCACTTGTGAGCACAAGCATCTGCCTGTAATGCCAGGGAAGCAGACTGGCAAACCGTTCCACCCGAAAACTCTTTTCCAGCACATCAGTTTCCTCACCTAAGCATGCAGCTAAAGGCAAACAAGCACTGAGTGGTGCCTGAAAGTATGGAGATGCTCTGGCCTCCTAGGAAGGGCAGTCCTGGACCATCTTGTCACCAGCCCTACCCACACTGGCTGTCCCCTTGTCCTTTGCTAGCTCTGGAGCCACTCAAGGCACTGACCACCACCAAAGCAGAAAGCTATTCATACAAGTTTTATACAGTTGTGTATCATATACAAATCCTTTTTGTTGGGAGGTTGCACAAG